AGCCCGGCCCTGCGGGACGCGGCCCCGCCGCCGAGGGGCACCCGGAAGGCGGCGAAGCCTCTGCGCCCCGGCGTGTTCCGGGCGGGCCTCCGCCTCTCACCGCCGCTGCGGGGACCTGTGACACACGGAACTTCCAGGGGCAGGAGGCAGAGGTCGCGAGTGCGGCGAGTGCGGGCAGTAGTGCGGGTTTTACAGGTTCTCAGCAGGAAGCCGAAATCCCACCAACAAAGTTTTCCCTAGCAGATTAATTTGTTGCAGAGAATTTCACGGTCTAATAGCTATGATATTATTATTACATTTTACTCCGACAGCGTTTTTCGCTGATAGATTTGTTTTGTTTCAGTAGCGTGTATTTCAGTAGAAATATGGGCTCCTTGTAGCCCAGTGGAGGGTAAATATGACTGAACAGTATTGCTTAATTAGAGTTTTGCTGCAAGTAATGAAGAGATGCTAAGGCCAATAGTTTTTACTCTCTCAGCCTGTTTGAAAATTTTAAGTAGCAGCTGCTGGAGGCCATTAGCTTTACTCTACAATCATCAGCAGAGGTAGCTTTCTGCACCCAGTCCTCCTATGTGTGTCCATGCAAACCCATGCAGCTTCTGAATGCAAGGGAAAACTTGGAAATACAGACTGGGACTCGGTATTTGACATTCCAGTTAGAACAGCTGACAAAGGTGCTGAGTTTGATGTGGACCAAAAGTATTATTGATACAGATTACTGATACAGTCTATGCAAAATGTCAGTGCAGTGCCTCAGCTCAGGGACCACTGAATACCTGCAAGATGGGACACACCTCTTGGTGCCTGGGTCTGACATCATGTCAACACCATTGACGTTTCAGGCACCTCAATTTGGGTTTCTTCCTTAAACTTTTCTTTCAGGAGGCCACTGCATGTACCAATGCCCAGTCTGGGCTCTCTAACTGGTCTTGTGTTCAAGGTCTTCTAGGCAATACCACTGATAAATAATCTCATGCCTCTTAAAAGTTGTGCTGAACCCTAGACAATGTTTTGAAATTGTTTCCCATAAAAAACGACATGATGTGCATAAACCACCGTGTCATGATTAGAAGAGGAATCTATGTTGTTACCTAATTAAAAAGGAGCTGACTGATTATTTGCTACAGGAAAATGAAACCAGCACATGCAATTAATTTCCTGGAAATAAATTACACATTGGGATGCTTTAAAACATTCATCAATGCAGCCTGTCATTCCTCAGAAAAGCTGGGCAGATTTGCCAGTGTGGCTGTCTACAACATATTTAAGGCTTCTCAGAATTTCATACGTGTCTAATGGGGTCATTTGAGAAATAATAATGGAAAGAGCATTTTAGAGACTTCCTGTGTGTGAGACAGGCTGACTAGAGGCTGAGTCTCTGCATCCATGCTCCAGGATGGCTTTCCACCACCACTCCCCATGCTTTTTATTGCTTCATCTTCTTGTCTTGATGTCACCAACACTTTCAGAATGGCTCCATCAGTAACAGAATTGGAGAAAAAGACATTGTTGTCATCCTTTGCTTGTATAAAGCATCTTTCATCCTTCCCTCCTGCCCATGCCTGGTTTTACAGAAAGGATATTCTCATGGTAGAGGAGATCTTTGTGTTATTCTCTGGGTTTTAATGTATGGGCTGTGTGCCCAGAGAGTTGCATGGCTGATAAATGTGACAAAATAAATAAAACAAATAACAAATCGGAGGTGCTCCAGAGGTGAGTGTGTACTATTATTCTTTTTTTTGGTAAACGGGACAGCTGCCAATGTTTTCACACTTGGATACTGCACTCAGGCCCCTTGGTATGGATCAAGGTGCCTTGTTTAAAATGCTTGCACTGGAAATAGTACAGACACTTTGGTGAGATCTCAGTGAGAGTCAGGAGGTCTGTTAGGAGGTCAGTTCAGCCTTCCAAATTTTGCTTCACATGAAGCAGTGTGCAGCAAATGATGGAACCCTCTTTTACAGAAGGACCTGTTTCTGGGAGTTTTGATCCATTGTCTCCTGAGCCCACTAACAGGCAAGAGGTTAACACAGGGAGGGTAAGTCTGGGAGACATCAGCTCTGGCAGACTCTACCTCTCCCCTCCTCAGGTACAGAAAAAGGAAATAAAAACATGTGACTGAATCAGCTATGAGTGGAGAACTGGCCCCTCTTGGTTGCTTACATCCAAGCTACTGACTGGGAAATTAGACTGGGGAGATGTCCCGGCATCTCGGTGCAGACCTGCAGGCCTGTTTGTTATATAAGGATTCAGGTGTCAGGCTGCGGGTCCGTCTCACAGCAGACACTCTAACACTGGTTATCTAAAGCACAGTGTGGGCCCATTTGCCCTTAGCTACTCCCTCAACAAGGACAAAAAAAGTATTGCTATTCATGTGCCTCCTCTTCACCTCTCTGTACAAGCCATCACTCAGTGCAGAGGGGGTGGAGGAAGGAAGAAAAAGAGTGGCTAGAGCTGCATCAATACTTGATCTGTCTGTGTGGCGGCCTGATATAAAATCATATCAGCAAAATTTTATATTTTTTTTAATGCTGTTAGCTCAGGGATTTTTTAAAAATGGCAGAGATGGTGAGAGGGCAAATGCAAGCAGGAAAGCATTATGTGGACTGCAGCTGAACAGCTTGAACTCAGCACACCGGTCATTGTGCACAAGCATGTGAGAGACAGACAATATAAATGCTGATGTAGACAGAGAGGATCAGGGAGCCAGAAAGCTGCCAGAGAAACAGTCCTTTGTGTCTTCCATCTCTCAGGAAGTAAACAGTTACCTAAACCCATTTTCATGCCCACCTACTCGGTCAATAGCTGCATTGCGCCTCCTGCTCCACTTACAGCTCCTTAATGGTGCAGAGGAGCTTTGATTGCTGTGGTGTGGGCCCCATCCCTCTGGCAAACCATTACTTAAATCCAATACATTGAAGGCTCCTACTGCTTTCTCAGTGATGGGGAGCTGCTCATCAGCTGAGTACCCTCTGATTGTTTGTCACAGCCAGACTTCCTAGTTCTTTTTCCTGGACGGAGATATTAAATAAATCTCAAGTGATGTAATTACCATAACTCAGTTGAGGAAGCTTGTGGGCAGATGCAGCCAGGGGCTGGAGGGAGCTCTGTCACTTTTTTTTCTTTCTTTCTGGGCAGTTGCAAATGTGCTGATGCAAAGGACATTGCTGCTAGAAAGCTGGGCTGAGCAGGTGGGGGTTATGCATCTTCTAAACATTCAGAAATAATCCATATATTGATTGGAATAATCTTCTCAGAGGAGATCACAAATAATTTCTGGAGTTTTGTGCATTGGTGTATCTGCTGACTTGGACAGGAGCAAAAGTCATGGCACTCTGCACACAGGGAGCTCCTGTGCTATTGCTTTCTCCCCAGGCAGGAACTGAACTTCCACTTGCTCTCTTCATGCAAAAATCATGGTCTGTCTCTGAGTTGATACAGAATATATTTTTCTATTTCCATGGCAGCTTGCTCTCTATAAAGGGGAGAGAAAAGGATTGATTCTTTTTTGAAAAATCAGGCATGTCCAGCAACAGGACCCTAAGCAAAGCAAAGTACAACTGCACATCTTTTTCTCTGGGTTCAGGAAGAAATCCATGTCTTTGTTATATTGAGCTTTCTCTACAAGCAGGCTTGAGGCCAGTCAATGTGCAGGAGAATGTGGGTGAGAAGATACTACTGCTGATGAGGACAGCCCCCACCTTTCCTCCTTTAGGCTTTAGGATTTAAAATTCAACTTGCAGTGCCACAGCACTTCTCTTCAGGACTAGACAACTTCAAACATGGAGCTTTCCTGGTAACAAGTCCTACACTACCTCCTACAAAAGGAATTCCTTGTCCCCTTGGATGACTAGTCAGAACTGTGACTGGAATAGAGTAGCTGCAATAGATGGTATGTTTCAGGATATCTTAAGAAGGCATTCAGCCAAATGCTGAGTGGATTTAACTATCCAGGAATGTAGTAATTGTCATGAAATTCCAAGCCTAAAAGGACCTGAAAATTAGACATTTAAAAAAAAAGAAAGTATATAATCAAAGGTCCATTGGATATTTCCACTACTCTTCTAAGTCAAATGAAATTTGTTTCAAGTGTCTAATTGCATTCTCAGATGTATGTTATTTTAGTGACACAAAATAGTCCTAGAACTAGCTTACACTTGTCTGACAGGATTTAGAGAAAAACCAGTGTTGTTAAACAAACCCATTAGGGGCTGATTCTGAGAGTTATTCCATGGTCTCCAAATCCAGATGAACAGAAAGGATCTAGCATGTCATGCAGCATTTGCTTAGTTATGAGGATTCATCAGCAGACACAATAACACTGAGGATATTTCCCCTAGGAACATCATCTGGCACAACATACTCAAGCCATACTTAAGCAAAAAGCAACCGTTTTGTATGGGAAGATTGAATGTCTGTCTTCAGGAGGACCTGTACATGGCATAAAGGGGTAGTGCATGGGGACACCACACCAGGATGTCCAGGAGATTAATCCTGTGAATCCTGTGCTGAGCTAAGATCCTTCCTGAGCTACAATTCTCCTTCAGTATAATGAACATTTGGATATTTGAGACTGTTTCCCCAAATTCTTACCAATATGTATCTTAGGATTTAACATCTTAGGCTGCCCAGATAACATCCCCATCTACACCATATGCACCAGCTCCACATCATTTTCCAGAAGAAGGCAGTAGGCTTCCACATCTGCCTGGAAATGTCAAGCACAAAACACTGGGCTGACCCACAGCCTGTTAAGATAATGTGTTGTCTCTCTCTCTCTTGCCCTGAACATGTTCCAACACACATCAGAAACACAGCAAAACTCACAACTGTCACTAATAAGTCCAAAAAGGTTCCATTGGCAGGTATCATTCTCCTTGGTGACCTCTGCCTGCACCTTTGCACAAGGGACAAGTGCAGTGTCTGTCAGTGAATGAACTGAAGACTCTATCAGGAAGAGAAGTGTGTGGATTTAAAGGCAGGGCTGTTTGAGGTGGCATGGTGCAGACGATGAAAGCAGAGGGAAATAGAAGAGTGGTGAGTGGGAAAAGGTAGTGGATTTGCACCCATGGAAACAGAAACTGATTTCTGACCATCACATTTCAAAGGAGCATCCCCCAATAGTACCTCAGAATGGAAACTTTGTTCTGAAAAGGAGGTCTTGGCCTTGCATGTGGCCCAGACATGGTATTTGAAAGGGAGCTTAAACATCGCATTGACGCTCTCCCAGGGCCTCAGGAGCACATAAAGTGAGAGACTGTTACATCCAAGTGATGGCCCAGATCTACTGCTTCCTAATGCACTTCATGTTAATTAAAGGGATATTTCAAAGCCATACACATTTTCTTGCCAAGATAATTAATTAATTTAGAAGCTTATGTAGTTAAAGAGTTTTGTAATTACATTTTTTTGTGGGGGAGCATTTTAAGGATGGATGCTGCCACAAGCTGAACATCTCCATAAGAGAGATGAGTGCCTGGGTTTCCCTGTGGGATGAACCCTTAGTGATGATGAGCTGGAAATCTCCTCTAGTCTATGGGGTCATGCAGCTCCTAATGACTTGGTCCTAGTAGAATGAAATATTCCGTCTCACAGACCCTAAAAAGAAAAGCACTGGCTTCTGAGCCAGTGTCTGCCTGTAGGCAGCACTTCCATGCAGCTAAAGGGGCTTTTCTTTCCTAACAGGCTTGGGCTCTCTCTGGTGAAGTTTTTCATTCCTCAGGTCATAATGCAGATGACTGTGGTGACAGACTGACTCTAATACAAGCCCTTTCCATCTTAAGACTAGTGTGGTCTCTCTGGATCTTCCTCCCAGAAAAAATGTGCTCTCATTCAAGATGAGGGGGAAACCACAAGCTGTCAACCCCAGGAAACACTTCTCTCCCTGCATCATCCCCAAAATCAAAACCTTGCCTTCCTGACCTGCTCTGTAAGGACATAAATTGATTCCTAGCCCTGAAAACACTTAAGCTAGATGGGAAGAGCTACAACCTCCTTGATTTATATTGGGAAACTGAGGCACAAGCAAGAGAATTCCTCCTTGGTGCCAGCTGTGAAACACTGAGCAGGGAACTATTTTACCTCATAGCATTGCTCTCTTTGAGAGCACTTTGCACATCCTTGTGTGATGTGCAAGTAAGAACACATGCAATATATCTCCGTTTTTCTTCCCTCTTTTTATGACTGAATAATCACACAATCTTTCTTCCATGGAAGTTTGACTGCTGCTGTTTATTGCCCCCTGGAAATGGGATGACAACAGCCCACGGCTCCTCCACAGCAACTCGCAAAGGTCTCCTAAGCAGAGAATTATGCCCGTTGGAGGCAATAAACAGCAGGAACAGTAGAGTGACTAAGCACCAAAGATCCTGCATTTGTGTAGAAACTAGCAATGAAAAGGAGGCAAGGATGCCCTGGAGAATGGTGCCTTAGGAAAAAACATTTCCAGCATTTTCTAAAAATGAAGGTTTTTGTGCATAAAGCACAAGCCAAATTTGAACCTCATACCACTGTTGAACATTGTCTGTGATCCTGGGTACGACTTCCATGCTAAGCATCAAGACTTAATGAAAAACTGGTAAATCATAGGAGAATTGGCCCAGAGTACACTGAGATGTATTCTCCTGCTCTCCCTGAAGTTGTTTGGGAGTGTGGAGATACTGGTAGAGCCTCCTGGGTATCAGGAGAACGTGCAGACAGAGATGGAGTCTTTTCTATCTAAAGCCATCATATGTTGGGACTCTGCTGCTGAGCTTACCCCTGACTGGCTCTGATGCTATTTGGGGAACCCTCATTTAGGCAGAAAAGAATCAAAACCTCAAGGGATCTCAGCACAGGACTCTTTCCTTTGAAGCAGAGCTGCACCTGCAGTAGGACTGTCACCATGTGATCCTGTAAAATCACTGTCCCAATGAAATCCTGATGTACAAGGGAAAAAAAAAATCTCCTTTTGTTCTCTTTCCTGACCACCTCCTTCCTACATTTTTCTTCTTGA